TGGGGGAAATCAACAACTCTTCTCCCTGCTGGGGAGGAGGCAGCCCAAAGCATGGACCTCCAGTAAGAGAAAGGACAAGTAGAAGACCAATGCCAGCTCTGAAGGAGAAGAGCCATGTCCCAGACCCAAGGGCAGATGGAAACTCTTTCCAAAGATAGGTGAAACCAGAGGGAGAAACCCTGATTGATGAGCTCTAGACTGCATGGATGTGAGGAAGAGATGTATGAGGACCTGTTTACATGGTGAGATTGACCAGATAGCTGTTCTGGAATAACTCCCTGTGTGGACATTCTTATTCTGGAATAAGAGTGCCTTTTTCTGGTTTAGTTTAGCCCAGTTTGCACTATTATTCCAAAGTAAGAGTGTCCACATGAAGAGTTACTCTGGAATAACAATAGTACTTTAAATTCACATCTGACCTTATTCCAGCATAATTTCGCTATGTAGACAAGCCCCCCTGAGAGTGAAGATTGTTCTGGTCTCCTGAGTTTGACTCTACATTGTGGATCTCTCAGGTGTTGCCTTTATTCTGGCACCTGCTGTTCCACTGGAATGTAGATGTATCGAGACCTCAGAGCCAAAAACAAGCGCAAAGATGTTTTGTGAGTGTCTCTGTCCATTGGACGTACAGTTAATGACTTCTGAGAGCTGATTAAACATTTTGTTTGTGTCACATATCCTAGGTGGGGAGTTGGGGGAGCTAAAGAAGATGGAGAGCTCAGCATGGTCAAACAGGTGTCTGCATCACACAAATAACCACCAATAATGGGCCTAACTGTCTCCCTCATTATAAGCCTCAGTAGAGAGATTAAGGACTGAATGGCCCAGAGAGGCTGAACTCTCTTCTTATTCTTACAGGTTCCTTTCAGGCCATGCTAAGATACATTGGCCAGGAGTCAGTTGGGAAGACTCTCCCAGCTGTTGCCCAGGTTGTGCTCACTCTAGGGATATGTGGGTTTCAGTCTCCAAGGGTTATCATAGAATAGCAGGGTTGGAAGGGACCTCAGGAGGTCATTTAGTCCAACCCCCTGCTCAAAGCAGGGCCAATCCCCAATTTTTGCCCCAGATCCCTAGATGGCCCCCTCAAGGATTGAACTCACAACCCTGAGTTTAGCAGGCCAATGCTCAAACCACTGAGCTCTCCCTGATTTCTGCTCTTTTACCCTCCTCCCACACATGCCAAAGCAGCTCTCTCTGTGTTTTCTGACTTGGCATGAAGATGCTGGTAGCAGCGAGCCTGGCAGCATCTCTAGGGTATGTCTTTGCTGCAGAATTATCTCGGGTGATTGGTGCCTAAGGCTAAGCACTTGGCTCCCAAAAGTGAGCAATCACAATGTGAAGCCCTACTTGAGTTACTGTGTCCTCACTTGTGGTGCACTCATCTATGTGTGCCACTAGGACTTCTGGGAGTGTATCCCATGGTTCTTTGTACAGCAGTAAGATGAGCAGCTCTATGGTTCTTTCCTACGGAATTGTGGGAGAACCTGTCTGTCCTGGGCACCTGGGGGAACAAAGGGAAGGCATTGGAGAACTGTCAGCACTCTAGTTGTTCAGCCTGTGTCCTCATTGCAAAGTGGGAAGGTTACCAGCCTGAGTGAAAGCCTCTCTCAGGCTTTAGCCTATAGCTCTAGCTACACTAGCTAGTTCAGGCTGAAAGCACCACCAGACTTGGTCAGAGGTTTTTGTCTGGGGACAGAAGGAGGATTAAGGTAACACCCAGTTGGAACCTGTGCTAACTCTGCAGTGAAGACATACCCCCAGAGGACGTGCGCTCGCCTTCCCTATCACTGAAGAGAAAAAATAGTTCCTTAGCTGGAGCCTTCCTATGCAGAGCTGATCACAGCGTCTGCACGTGACGGCAGCTTAGTGTGTCTCTACCTGTATGTGTGCTGGTGAAAGTGCAGGCTGGACACAGCTGTACAGTGTAAAGAGAGCCCAGGCTAGTGGGTCGGGGGCTCAGTGGTACCACAGTTCCAGTTGGCACCCTGGGGGGAACTCATCACAAACAGCTCTTTATACCAGCCCAGAAGCAGTTGTGCAAGCCAATAAGGTTAATTCTTTCCTGTTTGAATTATACATGGGAACTAGGCAGGGATGTTCATTGCCTCCTTTACTCTTCACATTGACCATGGAACTGTTTGCAGAGGATAGGACTAGTGAATTTATCTCAAGAATAAAACTTGCAGGAATACATCAGAAAAAACACTGATGATGTTATTTTTATCTAACCTGAAGATTTCTCTAAAATTAGTGTCTAAAGAAATCTTTGATCTGGTTTAAAGTGAATTATGCCAGATTTGAAATACTAGTTATAAATTTGCCCAGCTCAGAGAAGCTATCCCTCCATAAAACATTTGGGTACAAATGGGCAACAAATTCTATAAAATACTGGCAAATTTAACTCTCAAACAACCTACAAGAGCTATATGATTTCAATGTCATATAGTTGTTTCAGCAAATGAAAAAAGATTTGGGGTGTGGGGAAAGTATACAATGTATTGGTTAGGAAAAATAGTCAAAATGACTATTCTGCCAAGTTTCAGAGTAGCAGCCGTGTTAGTCTGTATCCGCAAAAACTAAAGGAGTACTTGTGGCACCTTAGAGACTAACAAATTTATTTGAGCATAAGCTTTCGTGAGCAGCTCACGAAAGCTTATGCTCAAATAAATTTGTTAGTCTCTAAGGTGCCACAAGTACTCCTTTTCTATTCTGCCAAGGATATCTTTCTTGTTTCAAAATATTCCTATAATCATCCTAGACAAAACTCTATCAGGAATACAGAGACTGTTTGAATTTATATGTAATAAAAAAGACAGAATGAGTGCAGATACTTTGTACAGAGCCACTAAACAGGGTGGACCAGCTCTTCTAAATATATGGTACTATCAATCCAAAACATTAGTGGATTGAGGTGCTCTAATTAAGCCAAACACTGGGTCTTTACTGAGTAAGAAACTGGTGGCAGTGTAAATATTACTAGGTTACCAGTTTAATAAAAAATCACATCCTTCTGCAATTTATATACATCTTTTAGCAAAGACTACTCTGTGGTTTAGGACAGAACTCTAAATGCAGTATTTTTCTTCACCAATGAAACCCATTGCAAATAATCCAGATTTTAAATCAAATCACAAATCAGAGTTTTAATGGTTCCGTGAGCCATCTAATACGTATGGCTGGCCAGCTGTTCACCAAAGAAACTTTTTTCTAACTTCTTAGAAATCAAAATTAACTTTAACTCACCCACTCTCCCATAGTACAAGTATTTTCAGGGTAGACATTATGTTTATCAACATTATAGAAAAGTTGTTTTATAGAGAAACTTTAGTAGAAATGCTGGCTTCTGGTGGATTTGGGAAAAAAAGAAATTAATTTATTTCTGTCTTTGCAGTCAACATTCCTAACAAAGAAGTGTCCATATGTGACATGGTGGGGGGAAAAGATTTGGATTGACAGATTGCACAAGAGGAAAGGGCTTTGATTTGGAAAAGATGGGCAGTCTCAGTTTGTATTATGGTAAATAAAAATGTCTTTATGATACTCTTTCAATGGTAGCTCACATCAGTCAGGTTAAAAATATAGAGATTTTCATTCATATATGGCAGACATATCCAGTTAGAGAGTATTGGGATGTGATTAGTAACTAAATATTACAAATTGTTGGATATTTATTACCAAATGATCCTTTACTAATTCTTCTGGGCTTCCTAACAGAAGTGTTCAGCCTCAAAGAAATGAAGAATTAATCTGTCATCTGCTAGTAGCTGCTAGGCTGCTGATAGCTTCTCATTGGAAAAAAGAAAAATAGCCCAAAATTAGAGGAATCAATCCAAAAACTATGGGAGGTTGGTTCAGAAATACTTATGCATGTTATGTATCCAGTAAAATAGACAAGGACAAACAGATAGTTAGATATATGGTTACTGTTTAGCCAGTACACTTACAAAGTACAGCAAAAATCCAAGCATACCTATCCAATGATTTTTAATATTAATGTTTGATGTACACACCTGGTTTGATAAATATGAGCAGTCAGTACTTTCATTCAGTTTACTAAAATCACCAGAAACATGACTTGGGTGTTGTAAAGAGGCTGACTCTGTAATATGCTAATACCAGCTAAATAGAGATTTCATTATTATAATTACTGCATGTTTCCTCAGACAAAATGATTGTAATGATTAGTGTTTTATTTCTGATGATTACGTGACAGTGATTTGACTCCTGAGTTCTGTTTCCAGCTCTGCACACTGGGAAAATTTGAAGCCTTTTTTTATTTTTGCATTGATGCAGCTTCCCTGATGCAGCTTCCCTGATGCTACTAGTGATAGAAGCTGCAGTGTAGACAGGACAGTTTTTCCACACTTTGGTTTTGAGGATTGGAAAAGGGGTGAATCTTACAAATCCTGTTCAAATCCAGCACAGGTTGAGTCATCATGGCCTTGTGGTTAAAGCACATGACTGGGAGTCAGGGAGACCTGTGGTATTTCATGTTCTGCTGCAGCTTTCTTGTGTTGCTTTAAGCAAGACACTTAACTTCTCTTGTGCCTTAGTTTCCACATCTGTAAATAGGTAATAATTTTTACCTACTTCATAGGGATTTTATGAAGCTGAATTAATAACTGTTTGTAAAGAGTACTATAGAAAGAGCAAAATATAATAAAAAGAAAGTGCTGGTCCATTTGAACTTTATTCAGTAGACTGCAGTAATTATTGGTAAGCAGCTTCTGGAAGGGGAAGAAATCGGGCTGTTGACCTCAGAGAAGTAAACTATAGGGAGGTTTATGTGAAGGTGTTCATGTTGTTAATGTTGTTGTAAATCTTAATCCTTTAATAAAGCTGTGACCTTGATGTTGACAAGTAGTATGCCATAGAGCAATATATAGCGTGGCACCAACCTTGTAAATCTCATGTCATTTTTGCCACTGACATAGACAACATGTAAAAAGAAATCAGACAGCAGAGGTTTATGAAGAACATTTATTTGAAGGAAAGCGTTTTAAATCAGACTATTTTTTTAGATTAAATCAATGGCCCTGCCAACTTTTTATTCCTCATGATAAAACGTATTTGTGAAATGAAATCTCAACAATGAAAATGTGTGGAATTACACAAAGAAGTTTGTGTGCTTACTTCTCTGTTGGAGGTACGTTTTGAAACAAGGCTATATCCCTATCTTCTGGTCACTGTAGAGCAGGGGTGGCCAAACGTAATGAGCCTCCGAGCCGCATACGACAATCTTCAGTAGTTTGAGAGCCGGGGTGCTACTGCCGGGGCTCCTTCTCCACATGAGGCACCTGCTGATGTCCTGAGACCCCCATCCCTGCTGGGCAGAGAAGACCCTAGCCCCACCACCCTGGTGCACGGCAGAAGCCCTGAGCTCCCTCCCCGCCCAGTCTGATAGGCTACAGAATCCAAAAATGGCTGTGCCTTGTTTGCTGTCTGGCCCAAGCATTGCAACATCATCAGCAGTATCATGGCGACTGTGGCCTGCTCATGGAATGTGCGAGCACAAGCTGCTCTCTGCTCCAGTCATTGCTTTCCCTTTGTATAAAGATAATGGTGTTTGTCAATGAGGAATAAGGTAGTACAGGCAGACAGTGATTACTGCATTTTAGGTGTTCAAAAACAGCAATATGGCAGCGTGATCTTTTACATTTTTGTCTGATGGAGTTGGAATTTAATTTAAAAACAAAACTATTTTTTCAATCAACCTGTTTAAGTCTAAAATCTGACAACGTCCCAGTAACTGTAAAAACTGAATCTGAATGAACAACGTAATCTGTTGAACATCTATCCCACCCTTTTCAGTAGAATTATGTGCTGTTTGGATGATTCACATGCACATATTCTAAAAATGACTGGTGTAGAACGTTTTCAATAAGGGCTTCTTCTACTATGTTTATATCCTGGAATAAGAAAAGAAAAAGATATTTAGGCAGATAAAAACAATTACCATTTTAACAAGCTATTTCTATTCTTGAGAGCTTGATTAGACCATGACCCAACAAAACATTGATTTCAGTGGAACTATATGCATGCTTAAAGTTAAGCACATACATAAGTAGTTTGCAGGATTGGGGACTTACATTATACTACTCAGTTTTAAGCATTGACAATTTATCGTGGGTGAAATCTTTACTATGAAACAAATTTAATTATAAAAGGAAGAATGCCAGAAGAGACTGACAAGTAAAATATGATATGCAAACACCAGTAACTCCTAAGGTATTTATTACAGGCCCCAGACACACAGATGCATATTATGTAATTATATATACAAATAACAAAATGTTGCGTATCTCAGCACTCTGTGGCAAAGAAGATAAAAAAAATACATGAGCCATCAATAAAATATTATCCAACCCAGGTGTATTACTCTTATATGCATGTAGTATAGATTAACATTTTATTGATGGCACATGTGGTTTTCTCAAGTCTGGCACCACTTCCTCAGGGGTTTGCCCTCACTTTAGAAAGTATTGGATTCATCTCTTTTTTTCAATATGATGTCTGGATGAATGTCAGTCAGGGCGATAAAGGAAACCACTGAAAAAATGTTTTTGATATTTTTAATAGTGTTTCAACTCTTGTTATGTATAGTCTAAATTTTATCGAGTTAGGAGAGTGTAAGTAGCTGTTGTTTAATAGCTCAATCCATTGAAGCCAGTGGGGTAAGTTGAGGAACAGAGAGAGGTTAAGTGTTTGCCAAAGGTTACACCATGACTTAGCAGCAGAAATGGGAATAGAATCCATGTCTCCCAACTCTCAGTCTTGCGTTCTTACCACTAGAGTCTGTTGCCCCCACTAATATCTATTACTTCTTCGTAACCTCACAACGTATCCTAAGCATGACATTCTGACAATTTAATGCATACCCTCATATGACATATTGATTGTCAGAGGTACAGAGGGAGATATGTAAAGAAGTCAGGACAGTAGCTTATAAAAATGATTATATTATTTACTCACTATGTAATCTTCATGGTAGAATGTGTGTCTGAGTTGAAGGTGCCTTATAAAATTCCTGCTAAAATAGCTTGGATTTTCACCAGGTATTAAACGACAAATTGGACAGTACTGTAAACGGGAAAAACTATCAATATTGAGTTTTCATTACAAAGACGTTGCAGAAGGAAATATTATCAGTGTTAAGGGGAGAGAAATGTGAAATATCTGGAACAGTAATAGCTAAATGGCTTTCTTTGAGTGACATAAATATATTTACTGCCAAACACAATATACCTGCAGTCCAGCAGTAAAGTTAGGTTAATCCCAGTTGCGCGTTTTCTGTTCAGTGATCCCATGGGGGTGTCTGTCTGCCCTCATCTCATGCTTAACTCCTTCCCTGCTACCGGCTAACCCAAGACTGTAAAATGAAAAGTTATTTGTTGTGCTCCCAACCTATGTGCCACATGATTTACTTTTCCACTGAAAATATGTGGTGGTTTACTGTGCTACTTAAAACAAAAATGCCTTCATTGTTTTGGAAGGAGATTTTAGTTCCTTCATAATTTTTGGTCCTCTGCAATATAGCTAACCATTGTAATTGTTGCAACATTTACTTCAAATCATATCATAAAAATATTAGTACACATTAAAACAGCATTTGAATAGCATGTTTAAAAGGCTAACTTATTGACTGATACTTTTAGAGCTAAATCGTGCTCTGTGCTCTTCTGGTATGAAAGAGGAGGTAGAAACAGCAGACCAGAATCTCTCCATGAACCTCAACTGAGCACTCTCAGAAACAGATATCTAATGTGCCAACCCACACAATACATCCCATGGAGGGTGGATGATCTAGTTATTACTTAGTCCTGCCTTGAATGCAGGGGACTGGACTAGATGACCTACTGAGGTCCCTTCCAGTCCTACACTTCTAGGGTTTCAAGATTAAGGGGAGAGGCCAGTCTTCTAGCTGCAACCACTGCCCTATGGAGTGTTTCCCCAACCTGCCCTGGAGAACCCTTTGCTATGTGGCAGGATTCTGGTAACAAATTATGCAATGAGCAGTGTCTATGCTCTTGCTGTACCAGTTAGTCACATTTATAGGTCATGTTGCTATGACATCAATGTGACATAGAGGAATTTCTTGACTCTTTTGGGGGTTTGTTCTATAATCTAAACATTATTTAAATTAAACTATAGTTTGTATATTTGTGTGAGGTTTTCAAGGAAGGTGTTACACCATTTTAATGAAATGCTGTGTAATGTATATTATTTACTGGTGTATAAGGGATAAACTTGTTTAATTGTGGAGTGAGACCTTTTAACACAAGAGGGTTAACTAAGTTGTAAAGGCCTTATTCTGCCCCATAACTGCACACAGCTACTGCTTACGCATTTGCTCTAAGTACTATAAATAAACATATTTATGCTAAAAAATGTAACATTTTTGTTTGACAATTACCAGGTTGGCTTCTATATCTGCTGAACAATCAGCAGACTTGAACAAATAAATGCCGAACCTAATTTAAAACCACACAACTAAAATTTGGCAAAATATGATCTGCTAGGGTAGTAACTCTTAATGGTGAACCCAATGTTCAACTGTAACCTTATTTGTTCTTTCCTTAATTTGTACTCCCAATACTATATACACGAGGGGTGGGCAAACTACGGCCCGGGGGCCGCATCCGGCCCTTTAGACATTTTAATCTGGCCCTCGAGCTCCCAATGGGGAGCGGGGTTTGGGACTTGCCCTGCTCCGGGCATGCTGGGGCTCTGCACAGCTTCCAGAAGCAGCAGCATGTCCCACTCCTGTTCCTATGTGTAGGGGCAGCCAGAGGACTCCGCATGCTGCCCCTGCCCCAAGTGCCGCCCCTCGGAGCTCTCATTAGCCAGGAACTGTGAGCATTCATGGCCCGCCATATAATTTCCATACCCAGATGTGGCCCTTGGGCCAAAAAGTTTGCCCACCCGTGATGTACACAGACCTACCAAAATGTTAACATCAATCTGATAGTAGTTAAGCAGATTGAGAACTAACCTGCACCATAAGGGAGAAGAGAGTGTTGTCCTTTGTTTTATTAGTGATGAGGGATAGTTGTGTCATATATCAGTCATTCAATTTGTTAACTTTTTGACTTGGCATCCCTCAGAATCAGGTCTTAAGCAAATTCAACTCCCAGTGAAATCAGTGAGAGTTGTGCACAGAACTTGTCAAGATCAGGCCTATATACAGGTCTTAATCCTGTAATTTGATCCCCACAGTCAGACCCTTATGCCTCATGGAGCCCTAGGCTTGGGGCCATTCTACGTAGTTTTGTTTGTACAACTGTAATAATTTGTCCTTGTCCTGTGTGTCCTTTGTAGCTCTTATGAATCACTGGAGTAGTTCTCAAATAATGATCCATAGATCGTTTTGTGCTAGGCAAGAGGACTATCAAGATAGACAGAAAATACTGCACAGAAAGTGGAGTATAGGAGGTTAGGAGCTGATGTTGGGTCCATGGAGAGAAATGATGAATACAGAATTTTAAAAGTGGAAGAATCACTGAATCTAGTAAAACTGTTGGTGGCATGGCATTTTGAAAATGCATGTCATTAGTCCAAAAGGCTAACTATAAACTCTCCTTTGGAGCCATCATGACATATGGGTGTATTTCTAGTATAGAACTTTTGATACTCTTTTCTAGCACCCACGCTAGCTGTGGTGGAATCACTGGTACAGATTGGGTGCAGGCCACTTATTTTTGTAATTACTGTGTCATCCAAGCCAAGTTTGTAATTCATGCTTTTTTTCCACCTGTTATCATGTCTCCTAGTATCTGCAGCCAAACAGGATCAATCAGTTTAATATGTAAGTTCAATAAAGTACACATTTGTACATATAACTGACTGAAAGATAGTTACCACTGCTCTCCTTTCTGTTCTATGATAAGTGAGACAATGGTCCATTAGATCATCTTCATGCAACTCACACTGGCAAAATGGACAGGCATATCTGGGAATTACAAAGATGGCATGATTATGAATGACTTTCTTTGTTTATAAAAAACACAGGTAGATTTTGTTTTCCAAAAAGTAATGAGGATTTTACCCTAAATATTTAAAAATGCTGATTCTTAGCAGTATGCTATACAATGGTTGAAATTTTTCAAAGAAGAATGTTATAAAAAATGGCCTTTTTTCAAAAATAAAAACGTTAATGAAAAAGCTGTGGACTTGATTTTTTTTTATTTTTGAAAAGTGTCACATTTCATATTGTTTCTTATTGAGAACATTCTCAAAATCATTATTACTGGGTTTCAATAGACAAAAAAACTGATGACCATTTTGATAAAAAAGTGACAAATTGTAAAAAACAGAAAATGGCTACATGTCAAACCCTGTGAAATGGAAACAACTTCCAAACTTTGACCTTTTTTCTTTTTGTAATTGTTTGACCAGCTGTACTTTGTACTATTTTATCCCAACACCAATATACAGTAAATTCAATAGAACAGTGGTCACATTATGATCATCAAAGGGCTGTACCTCATTGCTGTGTCTCCAAGCTCTTGTAGAGGTCCATATTTTTCTATATATTGCTCACAAGTCCTTAAATGAACTCTCATTTCACTCAGACATACCTAGGCAATATTAAGAAGCAACCTGTTATTCTTTAGCCCAACAGACATGTCATATACCTGGTGGTCTTGTTCACTTAGCATAGCTTATTATCTTTGCCATTCTGAGGCCAGGTTTACATTATCTGCACTACAGTAGCACAGCTATGATGTTGTAGCCATGCTGCTATAACCCTGTAGTGTAGATGCAGACTATAGCGATGGAAGGGGTTTTTCCCTTTCCTTGGATTTTTCACCCCTCTGAGCACCATAGCTATATCAACCTATTGTAAACCAAGTCTGAAAACTTAGAGGCCAGTTTGCTTGAGAGCTATTTTCATTAGAGTGGTAGCATTTTCATTAAGAATATATCATAATTTCTATTATTAGCCCAACTTCTCAGGAGTTATAAGATCTTACTGACTGAGCAGATTATTTCAAAATATTACCTATCAAAAAAGTGCATGTTTTTGAGTGTAAAATTAATTAGAACTAGATATCTAGCAGTTTGAGACTTTTGTCCTGGTTTTCAGACTAACATTTTAGATCGTGAAATGAAGTGTTGGAGACAGTGGGTCCTACCCACCAGGTCTTATGCAGGTAAAAAGACCTATTTGATCACATTCCTCTCCGTTACACTGGTGCAAATCTGGACTGACTCTACTAAAATCCACGATACTTTTACTAGACTGAGGGCCAAATCCTAATACTGACGAAGTCAATAGCAAAACTCTCATTGGCTTCATTGGGACTGGGATTTGGGTCTTACACGGATGTAACTGAGATCTGGCCCATTCACTTTACTTCACGACCATGTTACAGTAAATTATGTGAACCAGGTCCTTTACGTATTTTTTACAAAGAAAAACAACAAGAGCCTTGTACTCCTTGACATATCAATGACATTTTCTGTTGCCTCTGTCTCAAATAAAAAAAACTACAAAAATGCACATGTAGTAGTATTAAGGCACTGCCTTAAACTATCCATTACCAGTGAAATACAGTTTTCTGAAATACAAAACACAAGGTGAAAATAAAAAATAAAAGTCACACTATTATATAACATTCCTGATATGTTTCTGATGCTGTTTGTAATCTAACTAATCAGATAACAACAGCACTTCCTAAATTCATCCCTTCATTCTGGCATTCCGCTCCAATATGTTCATCTTACAGCTTATATAGAAGAATTAGTAGGTTTTATTTTGCAGCTGATAAGATAAAAGGAAGTAAGACACTGAGAAAGAAGAATGAGGAAGGAGTTGCTGTTCTGGCCTATACTTAAAATCAAAACAGGATGAGGTATTCATTATGCAGAATGAAAAGGGGACAAGTATGCAGTGAAAGGTTGTGAACAAAGTGACAAAATGTTTTGGTTTTGTATGAACTTTCAAATTAATGTATATGAGTAAAGTACGAATCAACTGTCTTCCTTGTCCAGACCTGCTAATTCATTCTCTTGCTCGACCCTGCAAAGTTAGAAATGATGGGCCTAATTCTCTACTGCTTTGCAATTTGTTTAGTGATTTACACATGTGCACAATGGTAACATTTTACAAGCAACTTTGCACAGGGGTAAATGATAACACAAGCGCCTTGCCTAAATTAAGAAAAAAAGGGTGTGGGTTTTTTTTCCAGTTGTTAGCTCAATTGAGGTATTTTAACTTGACGGAAAACACCAGTAACACTAATGTAGATGCAATTTAACACCTTTAGTTTGATTCTAGCAGGTTGTTATAGTGTAGTAGGTTCTTGCAGCTGAGCTCACTCAATTTAGAAAAGCACTTTTTCCCTAGTCTAAATAAGGCCACAGTCTAAGGTAGTGGAGACTCAACCCTGGCAAATCTGGACCTGGGATAAGTAGGTCCAATTGGTCTGACTGAGTTTATTTTAGAGTTTGTTTACATGAGGAAATTGACTGGCATTGCTACAGCAAAATATTCTGCTTGCCCTGAGGCCAGGTCTATGCTAAAAAATTAGGTCAATCCAGCTACATTGTTCAAGGGTGTGAAAATCCACACCCGGGTGTGACTTGTAGTTCAAGGGACCTGAGCCCCAGTGGTGACAGCACTAGGTCAATGGCAAAACATTTCCCTTGACCTAGCTACCGTGTCTTGGGGAGGTGGATCAATGACAGCGCTGGGAGAACCCCTCTTATTGCTGCAGTGTATGGCTACGCTGAAGCACCAACTGCAGTGTGCTGCTGTAGCAGTTTAACTGTAGACACAGCCTAGAAAAGAGGCCTTAATCTTATCATTTCTTGTGCACAGAATATCTTTAGAGTTAATCAGTAATGAACGTTAGACTTGCAAACCTGTGTGTCACACTCTGTGCAGTTTTGGTATACAGTTTTCATCTTCTTGGCAATATCAGTAGCTGGAATTCCTTCAGAGGGAAGATAAGACCGGCAATAAGGACATGTCCATGTATTATTCCTTAAACTTGTAACAATACAGGAGTGACAGAATCTGCATAAAGAAATTAAAACAAATATAAACACTTTCCATTAAAGCAGTACAAATAAATCATAATTATGGTGACATTCCAGTTGGGGGTGTGTGTGTATATATGTCATCACTAATATAATATGGCATGATGATCAGTTTCTATGGCAGATCTGGTCAGTTAATAGGTGTGTTGTTTGCTTGTAGCATCCTACTCTATAACTTTGTTGATAAAGTAATGTACAGGTCATTGGAGTTTCTACAATAGGAAAATTTTTATCCATAATGTTCCATTAGTACAGCAACACTGATGGTAGCAAGGGTGACTCCTGTAGGTGCAGGCAGTAAAAATGCCACAATTTAGCATGTTGCCCCTTGACCTGATCAGCCCATGTCCCACATATTAATGCTGCCTCTGGCAGGAATAATTTGCCTGGGGGGTTGGTAGAATGTCAGAGCCCTGGTCTGAATATAAACCCACAATAACCCTGCTTTGCAGCATCACTGTGCGCTTGTGTGTTCTCTAAAAGTATTTAAGGGCTGTATATTTGGCTTCAAAACAATAAGCTGTAGGTTTGTTTGGCAGATTTCTCCTGCACTTGCTATTGTGAATACAAGTAAATTATGGCAGAAGCTGTAATACTTTTGAAGGAATGAGAGTAGGGGAGGTTTATTCAGACAGTAGAATCTAGGCTAAAATAAAAATAGTGAAGGGTTCAGGATAACAAGGGGTTAACTTGTCTGCAACCCTTTTTAACATTTATGTAAATTACTTAAAAACCTGGACAGGAAGATAATGCTTAGGTTACTTTATGTAAATGAAGTGGCTATAAGATCACAAATGCACAATGAACTATGGAGGCAATTAGATGCTTTTGAATTTCAACGGGATAAATCATAGTATATCTAAGAGTATGGTATTCAGTAGAAAGAAAACAAATGCAAGAGGGATATAGGGGTGGATTGGGACGTGAGGAAGGTTTGAGGGCTAATCTGAATTTTGGAAGGGTGGGCCCAAGTCCACCTAGACAAGAGGCCCACCTCCTCAATTGAGGGAGGGGCCACAGAACTCAGAAAACAAGATTCCATGAGACAACAAATGATAAAACATGAATAGGAATTGGGGTCAAAAGTTCAAAACAAGGGTTCCAGATGGGGACACCAAGCAGAGAACCCTAGACAGCATCCCACTGCTTCATAAAGGAGTCCAAGGAGTAAGTGGATGCTGCCCAGAGACACTCTGCCCAGACCAGTGAAATGACAAGGAAATGGAAGTAGGCTCTACTATTGCAGAGAACCTCTCCGTTGAGTGTCCTCCTCCTTGACTGAGGTATGGCCATCATGGTGCTAGGAGGAGGTTGACTAGCAAGTCACATGACTTCTTGGGGTCACAGATAGGGAGTGCATAGCAGAATAGATGTGGAGTAAAGTGCAAACAGAAACTCAGCAGGAGGTTCTGGAGGAGCCAAAAGAGTGGGTGCAATCTTGCACATTGGAGGTGGGCATGTGCCAAGGATTCCATCTCATCGCAGAGGAGACAGGAGTCAGGGGCATTAGTTGCCATTATCTCTGGCAGACCTAGGTGGAGTAAAGGTTGGCTAACTGGGGTTCCTCATCCTCGCAGGGTGATAGAACACACATCACTGTGGAACATAAGGCTACGAATATGCCCTGTTTGGAGCAGGAGTATGTAGTTATGATCTCTGGCTATCGTTTCAAACAGAGCAGCTGGATATGGCCCAGCCTGCTTGGCTGGTGCACCGTAAGTAGCGGGAGGGATCGGGGGGCATAGCCCTTAATTTGAGCCCTAACGGCCCAAGAATAGGGGCTGGTGTGGGAATACCCTCTTTCTGGACCTGTTCAAGAGAGAAAAAATGGATTCACAACACAACAGGCAGTTCAGTCATCTCAGGATTGTGTTTACCCCAAGATTAAACTGGAGCCTACAAACTGGGAAAGTTAGAAAGAGAGTGGTATAAGGAGCTGGAAGAATTATCCAGTCAAACACCAGTCTTATTGGAAATGTGATAGAATTGGCTTTGGAGGTATCTTTTAAGGCAGAATATTAATATATATTGGTATAGAGGTGTGGTGTTGCAGAGTATCAGAGGGGTAGCTGTGTTAGTCTGTATCCACAAAAACAACGAGGAGTCCGGTGGCACCTTAAAGACTAACAGATTTATTTTGACATAAGCTTTCGTGGGTAAAAAACCGCACTTCTTCAGATGCATGCAGTGAAAATTACAGATACAGGCATAAATATACTGGCACATGAAGAGAAGGGAGTTACCTTACATCCTTAGAGGTTTTTAAGGCCCGGCTTGACAAAGCCCTGGCTGAGATGATTTAGTTGGTGTTGGTCCTGCTTTGAGCAGGGGGTTGGACTAGATGACCTCCTGAGGTCTCTTCCAACCCTAATCTTCTATGATTCTAAGTGGAGAACCAGTGTTGACAAGGCCAATTCAGTTAAGGTGGATGTGGTCCACTCCCAATAATTGATGAGGAGGTGTCAATACCAAGAGAGGGAAAATTGCTTTTGTAGTGAGCCAGCCACTCCTGGCCCCTATTCAAGCCCAAATTAATAGTGTTAAGTTTGCAAATGACTTGTAGCTCTGCAGTTTCTCTTTGAAGTCTGTTTTTGAAGGTTTTTTTGTTGAAGGATGGCTACTTTTAAATCTGTTATTGAATGTCCAGAGAGATTGAAGCATTCTCCTACTGGCTTTTGTATGTTACCATGCCTGATGTCTGATTTGTGTCCATTTATTCTTTTAAGTAGAGACCGTCTGGTTTGGCCAATGTATGTGGTAAAGCGGCATTGCTGACACATGATGGCATATATCACATTAGTAGATGTGCAGATGAATGACATCTGATGGTGTGGCTGATGTGGTTGGGTCCTCTGATGGTGTTGCTAGAGTAGATATGGGGACAGAGTAGGCAACCAGGTTTGTTACAGGGATTGGTTCCTGGGTTAGTGTTTCTGTGGTGTGTAGTTGCTGGTGAGTATTTGCTTCAGGTTGGGGGGCTGTCTGTAAGCGAGGACTGGCCTGTCTCCCAAGGTCTGTGAGAGCGAGGGATCACATTCCAGGAGAGGTTGTAGATCGTTGATGATGTGCTGGAGAGGTTTTAGCTGGGGGCTGTACGTGATGGCCAGTGGTGTTCTGTTATTTTCCTTGTTGGGCCTGTCCTGTAGTAGGTGACTTCTGGGTACCCATCTCGCTCTGTCAATCTGTTTCCTCACTTCCCCAGGTGGGTATTGTAGTTTTCAGAATGCTTGATAAAGATCTTGTAGGTGTTTGTCTCTGTCTGAGGGATTGGAGCAAATGCGGTTGTATCTTAGGGTTTGGCTGTAGAGTAGGGGTGGGAAAAACTTTTTGGCCTGAGGGCCATATCGGGGTGCGAAACTGTATGGAGGGCTGGGTAGGGAAGGCTGTGCCTCCCCAAACAGCCTGGCACCCACCCCCATCTGCCCCCTGCCACTTCCTGCCTCCTGCCTGCCCCCCTCAAAACCCCTGACCCATCCAACCCCCCCTGCTCCTTGTCCCCAGACACCCTCTCCTAGGACCCCTGCCCCTAACCGCCCCCCAGGACCCCACCCCCTCTCTAACCCCCCCTCTAACTCTCCCTGCTCCCCATCCCCTGACTGCCCTCCCAGAACCTCTGCCATATCCAACCGTCCCCTGTTCCCTGTCCCCTGAACACCACCCCCTGAACCTCCACCCCATCCAATTGCCCCCTGCTCCCTGTCCCCTGACTGCCCCCTGGGACTCCTTACCCCTTATCCAACCCCCTGACCCCGGCCCCCTTACCACGCCGCTCCGAGCAGCACGTCTGGCCGCCGCTTCCCAGCTGGAGCCAGACATGCTGCTGTGCTGCCCTGCATGAGCAGGCAGCCCCACTGCCCAGAGCGCTGCCCGCGCGGCGGCATTCCTGCAGGGGAGGAGGAACAGCAGGGGAGGGGCCGGGGGCTAGCCTCCCAGGCCAGGAGCTTGGGGCCGGGCAGGACGGTCGTTTGCCCACCTCTGTTGTAGACAATGGATTGTGTGGTGTGTCCTGGATGGAAGCAGGAGACATGTAGGTAAGTATAGCGGTCAGTAGATTTCCGGTATAGGGTGGTGTTTATGTGACCATCACTTATTTGCACTGTAGTGTCCAGGAAGTGGATCTCTTGTGTGGACTGGTCCAGGCTGAGGTTGGTGGTGGAGTTGAAATTGTTGAAATACAGGTGGAATTCTTCAAGGGCCTCCTTCCCATGGGTCCATATGATGAAGATGTCATCAATGTAGCGCAAGTAGAGGAGGGGCACTAGGGGATGAGAGCTGAGGATGAGTTGTTCTAAGTCAGCCATAAAAAGGCTGGCATACTGTGGGGCCATGAGGGTACCCATAGCAATGCCGCTGACTTGAAGGTATAAGTTGTCCCCAAATGTGAAATGGTTGTGGGTGAGGACAAAGTCACAAAGGTGTGCCGGGGCCTCATCAGGGATACTGTTCCTGACAGCTTGTAGTCCATCCTTGTGTGGAATATTGGTGTAAAGAGCTTCTACATCCATGGTGGCCAGGATGGTGTTTTCAGGAAGATCACCGATGCATTGTAGTTTCCTCAGGAAATATCTCAAAGATAGCTAGGAGTGCTGGTAGTGTAGGTCTGAGGAGAGAGTCCAAATAGCCAGATAATCCTGCTGTAAGAGTGCCAATGCCCAAGATGATGGGGTGTCCAGGATTTCCAGGTTTATGGAGATTTGTTCCTGTGCTATAGCAGGGAGCTTCTTGAGCAGATAGTGTAATTTCTTTTGGTACTCCTCAGAGGGATCAGAGGATAGTGGGGATCAGAGGATAGTGACCTGTAGAATGTGGTGTTGGAGAGTTGCCTGGCAGCCTCCTGTTCATAATCCGACCTGTTCATGATGACTACAGCACCTCCTTTGTCAGCCCCTTTGATTATAATGTCAGAGTTGTTTCTGAGGCTGTGGATGGCGTTGCGTTCTGTATGGCTGAGGTTATGGGGCAAGTGATACTGTGTGTTCACAATTTCAGCCTGTGCACGTCTGCGGAAGCACTCTATGTAGAAGTCCAGTCTGTTATTTCGACCGTCAGAAGGAGTCCATGCAGAGTTCTTCTTCTTGTAGTGCTGGTAGGAGGGTTCCTGTGGGTCAGTGCACTGTTCAGTGGTGTGTTGAAAATATTCCTTGTGTCGGAGACGGTGAAAGTAGGCTTCCAGATCACCGCAGAACTGTACCATGTGCGTGGGGGTGGTGGGGCAGAAAGAGAATCCCTGAGATAGGACAGACTCTTCTGCCGGGCTCAGTGTGTGGTTGGATAGATTAACAATATTGTTGGGTGAGTTAAGTGTATTACTGTTGTAGCCCCCTGTGGCATGTAGGAGTTTTGATAGTTTACTGTCCTTTTTCCTCTGTAGAGAAGTGTGTGTTGTAAATAGCTTGTCTCGTTTTGGTAATGTCCAGCCACGTGGAAGTTTGTGTGGAAGGTTGGTTTTGTATGAGAGTCTCCAGTTTTGAGAGCTCATTCTTGATCTCCTGTTTGCTGTGTTGTGGAGTTACCAAAGAAAAGTCTTAAGCAGATTCTTAAAAAACAATTGTGGGGGTAGGGCCTGCCACCCTCATTACGTTAAATAAGGTTTGAAAATAGCAGGTAGTCTGGACTAAATCCTCTTCTCATTAAAGTCAGTAGGAGACTTACTACTAACATGAGAGACACCAGGATTTGGTTTGTTAAGATTAGCGAAGCTGTCAAGGATGTGATGGGATGAAGTCAGGACTATGGAAATTACACTGTGAAGCTCTCAACAGCAAGTGCACAAAAACTGTTATCAGATTTCTCTGTGGACATGCTTGACAAATGGCAGACTGCCAGAGAGAGTGTCCACATGATTCTCTGAGATCATGCTGTGAGCATGCTGAAAGCTTTTACTGATGTTTTGTCTAGGCTTGCTGAAATGAGAACTGAAGCAATAAACTTTGATATTTTCACTTCATTTTTACCTTAATTTTTCCATTTTCTCCTCCTTCAATGTGTTCAAAAGCCAAAAATGCAGTGAGGAAACATAGTCTGTATATTGCACAAAATGGGCAACAAATATAGCTTCCTCAAATTTCCCTTTTTGATCCAGAATGTGCTAAACCATCACTCGCAGGTCCAGATACTGCATTTCAACCAATACTTAATCCAGATAAATATATACGTTTTTAAACTAGCAATCTAGGTGTGCCTCTGTTAGGAGACAAACTTATCTAGGGAGTCAATGGACCTGTGGTCAATAATCCAAAGCAGCATAGTTACTGGCAGAGTAAATATCCCATTACAAGCTGGAAAAAAAATTGTGTCTCATGTTACCAGAAGTTTATATTTCCCTAGTAAAAAGATTATTATCATAGCAATCTAATCAATGGGTCTGCAGTATGTAAAAATTGGCTGAGAACAATGAGTTTTTCATAAATGTCCTTTACTCAAACTATACATTTAAAAAGGTCTAAGGACCTAGCTGCACTAAAAAACCCACCACATTTGAATATGAATGCAGGAAAATTGTATTATAATATCGTTTTTTTCTTTCTTTCCCGGTGCAGTAACACTGGTCCTAAGAATTTGGACCTAGGGCTCTAAATGTTGCTAACGGTGCTGGAGCTCAGCTGGTGTTAGCAACACTGGGAAATCTTTGGAGAATGTCCAAAATGTAAATAGTTGTAGTGGTTCTGAATCTCCACTGCCTTGCCCCTTGTACAGTAATTTACACCTAGGCAAAGTAGGTGGAATACTACCAAATCAGAATTCTCAGGCTGGTGGTGACATTTTGCACCTACTTTGCCAGGTGTAAACAACTACACAAAGCACCAGGGAGTGGTACATCAGGCCTAACATGTTTTCTATCCAAGAATAAACCATGTTCTAACATGATTTGACCTCAGCCATGTTTCACAGCCAGGTTTTAATCTGGATTACTTTTGTATTTTAGACAGGGTTTAATAGTCTTCTATAAACATCCGTGATCATGGTTCAGGTGAGTTGTCAGGGGCCCGTCCCTGTTAATGTCACATGGTATAAGACCGGTTTGTCCTTTGTCCACCCTACCTATCAAATCACCATTGGGGAAGGGTGATATAGCATATCAGGACAGATGGAAACACAAGAATTTATTGTGTACAAGATAATATTCTGTTACTGGGCAGTGACTTCTTCCCTCTACTGACTAACCAGGAAGCAGTCTGGATACATTTCAGGCTACAACATAAACTACTCTACAGCTGAGTCCTACCATTAAAACAGTTTGCTCTCCAATTTTATTTGGTCAATACAAATGTAAATACATAAATACCACAAAACAGCCAGGATGGGGGTAGAAGAAATAAACGCTGAGCTTCTCAGGATGTTGTCCTTGAATCTTGTTGAGGGCCCTATTCCTCTGCTCTCCAAATACAGTTTCTGGATGATTGATTGACTGATTGAAATCTTGTGCAAGAACTTGTCTTTCAGGGGCACACGGAGAGGAATTGTAGGAAGGTATTGGGAGGACAGTGGCATAAAATGAGTAGACTTAGCCTGCGTAGTGTGATGAGTTGTACCAAGTTGAGCTTTAGCCTGTACCCGCTACTAGGCCAACCAACTTGAGTTAAAAGCAGCAGCAGTTTGAAATTAAGGGGTTTTCATTTTGGTCAGAACTTGATTTAGGCGCAGGACTTGAGTCACAGAGACTCTGTGTATATAAAATCTCCCCACTGTATTTTTCACTACATGCATCCGATGAAGTGAGCTGTAGCTCACGAAAGCTTATGCTCAAATAAATTGGTTAGTCTCTAAGGTGCCACAAGTACTCCTTTTCTTTTTGCAGATACAGACTAACACGGCTGCTACTCGGAAACCTTCCTTTAAAGAGGAAATTTTTGGCCATAGGTTATGTTAGGTTTTTATTACTTGACTACTTCATTCATAGTGTTTGTTTCTGAGCTAATTCATAGAGCTTTTTCTGGGTTTGTATTTCTTGCTCTGCTTTAAAAACTCACCTGTGGCCAAATATTAAATCTTTAGTCAAAAAATTTGAGTCTTATCCTTCAGCCCTTCCTCTCGTGTGTTACTAGTGTACTGGAAATTCACCTGCGCAAAGACTCTTGCATTAGGCCCCAAATCTTTTTTTTTTCTTTCCTGTGCTTCTGGAAAAGAATTTTCCCATTTAAATTATTGAATCAAAAGGAAACTTCCTTTGGAGTTCCAAACACAAGCACGGTTTAAACAAAGCTTTTTGTTACCAACTTTGGCAGAATAAATAAGTATTTGTGCAGACTGGCATGATTTCCTAGTTTCAAGGTCTGCTCGTTTTCCTGGCTGCCTCAAGTGTAAAAATCCTACTAATAGCATTTGTGTGCTTGGCTCAGCCAGGAGAGACAAATACACACAGCAACTTTTTGGCTGTGTTTGCAGTAGGAATCTTTTGGTCCCACAATTTCCAACAGGTAGCATTAACAGAGGCTGTAACACAGGCACGGCTCAGGCATTTTTACCACTATACTATCTGACCCTGATCTGACATGCTGTTAAAAATGCCTCAACTTGTTTGAACCTGGTTTACGCCACCCACATTCTCCCCCAGTACCAACTCTAGTGGAGCTGCACACTGAAAATTACAGGTCAGAAAAATCCTAGTATAGAAAAGGCCCAAAACGAGCTAACACACCAGGTAGCTGATCACACAACTGCTAGACACTGAAACCTTAGCATGTGCCTGGGTTACTGATTGATGACAAATTCCCTGGAGACTTTTTTCTACCAAAAACGTTAAGAATAGGCTGTAGAATAACAATGATAAAAAGTAACAATAATCCTTCCCACTTTTAACACACCTTTCCACCCAAAGGTATCACCCCCCTTTGGAAACAGTAAATTGCTAGTACAGATGGCCTGGGTACAGAACCCCAGCGTCCCTTGTTCAGCTGATCTCCAGCTCACTTGCCTTAAAGTCCAGGTTAACCAGCTCTTTGGGGGGTGGGGTTTAAATCGTTTTAGAGACAAAACCTCACTGTTTTGTTTTAATCTTTGGCGCTGCTGAAAAACAGAACATTGGCTTTGATCCTAAACTAGCCCAATTCTCCTTCCTAATAAAAATCCAGTTTGTTTACACTCTTTGGGGCCAAGTTCGTCCTGGTGTAACACCATGAGGCTCAACTGAGATACGCCAAGACCTGCTCCTTTCTTGGCAATCTTTCACGCAGAAGAAGACGGGCTTCAGCCAAAACCAACAAGGGGCGTGGGGGTGGTTCGTTGGGAGGAAGTCTCCAGTACCCCAACCCCTTCCCCGGGCTGGGAGGAACCCACTCTGCCCGGCTAGAGCCAGACACAAAACGGCGGCGCTTACACGTGGCCACACTGGGTCCTCACGGGCTGGTGCAGCACCTCCAGGCAGATGGAGCAGTCAAAGGACGGGACCCGCTGCTGCTGCTCAGGAGCTCCCCCCAGATCCCGCGCGCACCGAGGGGCAGCCGCGCCAGCGCCCCGGCTGTCGCTGCTGAGCAGGGAGCCCATCGCGCGAGGCAAGCGGCTGCGGGTCGCGGGCGGCGACGCCGCCGGACAGTCCTGCCGGGCTGGTGGTTTTGCTGTTTCCCTGTGTCGCTCGCAGCAATGGGGCGGGGGCGGGAGGGGGCCGGCCCCGGCCCTCCCCCTCATCCTCTCCGCAACTCGAGTCAGACGAAGCCACTGGGAGGCTGGTATGGCTCTGGGGAGGGGGACACGGCGGCGCAGGCCCCGCAGATGCTAAAACAAGCACCGTAGCAGAGATTAGCGTCCACGATCCGCGCCCCCACCGAAGTTTAGCTGCACACAAGAGGCCTGGCGCCGGCCTTCCCTTTTTGGCTCTGGCTGTTTAATTATGTCCCTCTTCCTCCCTGCCCCCCACGCCAAAGAAGATGCTGATTCTTTTCATTGGCAAGAGTTCAGACGGCGACACGATTGTCCATGGTAGCACAGATACCAACACCACCCCAAACTAACTAGGGGGCACTAACTCAATGAGTGTTCAACTTCCTTCAGCCTCTGCCTTTATATTTAGAGGTTTAGAGTAGCAGCCCTGTTAGTCTGTATCCACAAAAAGAACAGGAGTACTGGTGGCACCTTAGAGACTAACAAATTTATTAGAGCATAAGCTTTCATGGGCTACAGCCCACTTCATCGGATGCATAGAATGGCACATATAGTAAGAAGATATATATATATATATAGAGAGAGAGAAGATGGAAGTTGCCATACAAATTGTAAGAGGCTATATTAAGATGAGCTGTTATCAGCAGGAGAAAAAAACTTTTGTAGTGATAATCAAGATGGCCCGTTTAGACAGTTGACAAGAAGGTGTGAGGATACTTAACATAAGGAAATAGATTCAATATGTGTAATGACCCAGCCACTCCTAGTCTCTATTCAAACCCAGGTTAATGGTATCTAGTTTGCATATTAATTCAAGCTCAGCAGTTTCTCGTTGGAGTCTGTTTTTGAAGCTTTTCTGTTGCAAAATTGCCACCCTTAAACCTTTTATTGAGTGGCCAGAGAGGTTGAAGTGTTCTCCTACCAGTTTTTGAACGTTATGATTCCTGATGTCAGATTTGTGTCCATTTATTCTTTTGCGTAGAGACTGTCCAGTTTGGCCAATGTATATGGCAGAGGGGCATTGCTGGCACATGATGGCATATATCACATTGGTAGAAGTGCAGGTGAACTAGCCCCTGATGGTGTGGCTAATGTGATTAGGTCCTATGATGGTGTCACTTGAATAAATATGTGGACAGAGTTGGCATCGGGCTTTGTTGCAAGGATAGGTTCCTGGATTAATGTTTTTGTTGTATGGTGTGTGGTTGCTGGAGAGTATTTGCTTCAAGTTGCAGGGCAGTTTGTATGGCAACTTCCACCTTATCTTCTTACTATATGTTCCATTCTATGCATCCGATGAAGTGGGCTGTAGACCACGAAAGCTTATGCTCTAATAAATTTGTTAGTCTCTACGGTGCCACAAGTACTCCTGTTCTTTTTGCCTTTATATTGTACCTGCATCCCTTTCCCCCTTCCTCCCTCTGTATTGTGACTAGATAGGGTTGCCAACTTTGTAATATTTAAAAACTGGACACTCCAGCAGGAGTGCTGGAACCTCCCCTTGCCCACCACGTCAGCCAGACCTTACCTTGCCCCGCTCTTCCTGGAGGCCCTGCTTCTGCCCTGCCCCGTTCCCTGAGGTCCCACCCCCCATTCACTCCTCTTTCCCCCTCCCTGTGTCGCTCACTGCTTTTCCTCTCTCCCCCCACTCACCTACAAAGGTGGGGCTGGGAGTTGCAGCCACCCCATGCAGGTAGGAAGTGGCCCTAGCTGAGTAGGGGCTGGTGCGGGTGATCACTTGGTGACTACCCACCTCCCCTGCCCGCAGTAACCGGACTTTGGGTGTCCGGTCAGTAGATCTGACTGTGTTGTACCAATAAAATAAAAAACAGCAGGATCTTATTAAAGGGACAAGGCAAAATGCCACATTTATTGTAAATATAATAATAAAAAGAAATATATACAAAACTCACACTGTTGTATTGTTACTTATTCATTCATTCATACAAACACACACACACACAGGTTCTGCAAGGTTGTTATCATAGTTACCAGCCTTAGAGTTGCTCATGCCAAGCCACTGGCCAGGTGGCCTGGACATGAGGAGGGAGCAGGGCCTTGTCAGATGCTCATCTGATGCTCCCGGAAGTTGGTTTGCAGAATCAGACCCCCCCACAAAGTTCTCACTTTCTAGAGTCTATTTTTATAGGAATTTATTCCTAGGCCAGTCTGTGGGAATTGCTTCATCATGCTGTTGCTGAATCAATCAGCAGATAGCACATTCCAGAGGGCTCCGTGCTGCTAGATGTTATCTTGTTCTTTGGTTCTCCCATTCTTGAGGCTGTTGGGTGGATTCCAGTCTGCCCTGGGGGGGTGGGGGTCCTCTGGTTATTTCCACTTGACGCCTTCTTCAGCCGATGGACACTGGATTCTTAGGCTGGCACCTCCCTGATCATTCAGTTATTATCCACACCAAGCATCCATCCACATACATCCTCTATCTCTATTTTAATCACAATTGTCAATACAACAAAAGGGCGGGGAGTCTCTAGGTGCTGTTTCTGTTGTTAGAGTATTGCTTTGAGTCTCTCTCTGTGTGAATTGCTTTGAGAACAGATTCTGTCTTAGAATGTACTAACGCAATTAGCAGCTTGCAAGTTTCACACATAGAGGGAGAGAAACAGTACCAAAAACCAAGAGACCTCTTAATTAGTAATACCCTGGAATTTAAACTATGGGAAATCAAACTCATTTGTGATTTTAATACAGAACTTCTTTAATATGATCCAAGAACTGGACACCATCAAAACCAGACTCCTGGTCTCCCTGTGACTAGATTGTAAATGTTTGATCACTGGGTATCTTGTCTTTATATGTGTCTGTAAAGTACCACGTTCTTGCACTATAGAACAGTGGCTCTCAACCTTTCCAGACTACTGTATCACAGGAATCTGATTTGTCTTGTGTACCCCCAAGTTTCACCTCACTTAGAAACTACTTGCTTACAAAATCAAAGATAAAAATGCAAAAGTGTCACAGCACACTGTTACTGAAAAATTGCTTACCTTCTCATTTTTAGCATATAATAGTAAAATAAATCAATTGAAATATAAATATTGTACTAACATTTCAGTGTATAGTATGTAGAACAGTATAAACAACTCATTGTATGAAATTTTAGTTTGTACTGACTTTGCTAGTGCTTTTTATGTAGCCTGTTGTAAAACTAGGCATATGTGGATGAGCTGATGTACCCCCTGGAATACCTCTGCTTAGCTCCGGGGTAAGCTAATAGCTTCATATGTGGATCTTAAAATGAAGTGAATTGTGTTTGTAAAGGTGTGTTTCTCCTTCTCTTACATTCTGCTTCCATGACTCTGGTTCTTAGACTCGCTAAGGTCCCAGTTCTACCGCTCTTACTGAACTCAGTGTGAGTAAGGCTGGCAGAATATGGCCCTAAATTATTATTATGCTCTGTTTACTATTTTATTTCTAGCAATTCTAGTCTAAACAATACGTACACAATAGATATTTGTGCAGGTACAGTATTATCATATGTGCTATTGGGGGAGGAGGGGTTCATAAGCACAGGGAATTTGTAAATTCAGTTAACAGTTGGTTACCAATTTGTTTTGTGATGGATCCACATTATATTACCAGAAGAGTTCCATTACCCAGAAGACAGTCCTGGAAAGAATGACCCCTTTTAGAAAATGGCAAAATCTTTTTTTGGGGAGGGGAATAATAATCCTTTTGGATGACATTTTACTTTCCTTAATTGCATATAGGTACCTGGACAGTGTGGTGATAGATTTGATTCTCACCTTTTAAAGGCATCTATCTATGTATATATTTTTAGAGTATGACAAAGATCAAAATGAAATATGACCCAATGAGATCATAGAGCTGCTCGGGTTGAAGGCAGTATATGCATGAGTAATAATGTTATAAAATAAGATATAAGGATTCTTGAAAAGAGATGATTTTTAACCACTCTGCCACGTAACCCTGTTTGGTGTTGGTCTAATCGACAGCATGCTTAAAGTGGTGACAGCAGTTAGCAGGTTTTTATGCTAGGCCTATTGAAGCTATTAACATAGGTGCAAACACATTTTTAAGAAATTTTCCTTAGTATTAAGTTATTGTTTCAGATGCAAACAGCCATGGGCCAGATTCACTTCTGTGGGCACAGGAGGAATGCAAATTACACCCATCCCTCTCTACCCCTGCCTAATTCAACCACAGAGCAGCTGCACTGGCATGCAGTGCATGCAGGAAGGGCATGTATTTACCTATTAAAAAAACCTTTCCCACTAACCATGCTAGCTTGCAGATTATCCAGTGTGTGAAAAGGGACCAAACTTTTGGAATTCAAAATCCAACAGGCTAGACTCCAAAGTACCAGTCTGAGATGTTGAGGTAATGGCGGAAGCAGAGCTCTCTGCCTTTCAGTAAATCACAGCGTAACCCAAGTTGAGCTGCTCCATTTGGCTGATTTAGAATGCCTTCCAGTGAAGATTCTTAAAGTGACCTGTAAAAGATATTGAAAAATTGGGATTGGGCACTTTTTTATTTGCTTCTTTATGATGTATAAAGGAGGCCTGTAAAGTCGTGTTTTTTTTATTTAAGGGTTTTTTTTTCTGTTTGTTTGCTTAGCTTCAAACTATCAGATATCTCAAGTCTGGCCTTTCCCTGGTTTTTCTGGTGGACTTTGTGTGTGTGTGTGTCTTTGGGGTGATGTTATTGAGCTTTCCCACCTTAAGTGAGGGCTGCGGGTACCCCTGCTGCCTGCAGCTCCAGAGGCCCGCAGCAGCCATGAGCTCAGCAGTTCCCCCACTGCCCACAGTGGCCAGGAGCTGGAGGATTCCCCCACTGCCCACCCTTGCTGGGAGCTGCAAGGTACCCCAGGTGCCCACAGCTCTGGGAGCCTGTGGTGGCCAGGAGCTCAGGGGTTCCTTTGCCACCCATGATGGCCAGGAGGGGGGCGGTTCCCCCACTGCCCACTGCAGCTGGGATGGGAGCTGCGGGATACCCCACCACCTGTGGTGGCTTGGAACTCTGGGGGCCGCCGGAGGCGGTGGGGGTACCCTGCAGCTCCCTGCCCCTGCTGGCTGAAGTCACAGAGATTGCTGGAAATTGCGGATTCCGTGACTTCAGCAACCTCTGTGACTAAATCATAGCCTTAACTATAGTCCCTGTAATGTAGACATGG